CGTGTGCACAGACGGACGGACAAACGGACGGACAGACAGACGGACGGACGGACGGACGGACGGACGGACAGACAGTCACCGCTTAATCGATTTCTCTTTTCATCCTGATCATTTATGTATACATTTGTCTATATCTATCTCGATTCGTTTTGCCTGTTACAAACAACCGTTATGTGAACAAAGTTATAATACCCTTATAATACAAAAAATGGTGCCGACAGATGGCGCTTGAATCGAGATATTTATAGAATCCGTCTTTGTCTTACCACCTGGATTAACGGGTATTAGTTTTATTATAAGAAGTGCTTATGCAAAAAAAAGAAAAGGAAAATAAAAATCGGCGCACAACAAAGATGGCACTGGAATCAAGGTACACACCTACATTTTAGATGACTTAATAAAGCCTCATAATTTAAGTATGTGACGAATTAGAAAGTACACTGCTGAAATATCAATGACCCCTGTTGAACGGTAAAGCTCTCTCTTGCTGTAGAACAGCAGGATTATAGAAGAAGGTTACGAACTCTCGGCAAACCTTGCAATACTTGCAGATATCTCACAGATGGAAATAAAAGCTCATAGCATTGAAGGTGATTAGTATATACATACTATGTGTATATCATTTGTTATTTCCGCGATATTATTTATTCTTGGCCTTGAAGATTCTGCTCTTCAGTTCTTTCAACCTAAATTAATAATTTTTACATTACAAACCGGTTTGTACCGCGGTTAACCGTTTTCGCATTTCAACACTATTTTTGTATTGGTCAAAGCAAATAGTCTATCAGGCATCGCGAAGCAAGCTGGGCATTTGTTACTTTACAATAAAGTTTGAATCTTTTAACTTGTGCCTGGAATTGCTACGCCCCTTTCTAGAATATTCTTCGATTAAATAAAGAGGTGCGGAACAAATGCTGTTAACGAAGAGATATTCTGCCGAAATCCACATATACATATATCTGCGTTTTGTTAACTTTTGTCCTAAACTGCCACCCACCCCCGTTTCTGAGGTTTCTCTGCCTTAAACAAAAACCCTCATAATTCTGAGGATACATACTATTCACTTATCAACTGCGGTTTCTACTGAGATACGTCTTTATGCCTCCCAATCCCTGCAATTTATTAAAATTTTTGACAGTAGGAGTACTAAACTGTTGAAATTCGGAAACCGGTTTAACGCCAAACTACTCAAACGGTTGCAATCACACAACTGCGGCCAACTGGGGTTTTATATAAAGAAATAAGATATAGAAATATTATTAGAATAACAAAACCCGAAAAAACACAAACTATGCAAATTAAAAGCTTTAAAAATTAAAGAAACTGTATACAAAAATTTCTAGTTAAATACACGCGGCACACGAACGGCGATCGCAATGGCGCTCACCACATGCGAGGTTTAAATTTAAAAGGCTTTTTTAGTTAAATATCAGGCGCTTTCGGTTTTATACTTTTTTTTTTTTGCTGTACACAAATAAAGTAACTCAAGCGTGTAAATTGCATTTTCATGATCAAAAATCAAATTAAAACTTTATGTCCTTTTTATTTATTATGCGCATTTTTATTTTTTGCCCCTCACATTGGCAATCATCAGACAGAAGTGTGAACATCGATTTTAGTGTGAGCGTGGACAATTATATTTTGTGAGCAGAAAAGAATCGCGTTATGCCTAAATACTTTTGTGCCGATCGGATAGCGGTAGGCCTCAGCAAATGCTGTTAAACGCAATTACGCAAGCACTCATGGGTGATGCACGGTGTCTGTGTAAACACACACATTCGAGTGAGTATTTTGGTTTTTTTTTTGAATCTACAGACACTTTCATGCATACGCAGCCTAGTATTTATGTTAACAATTGTGTGTGTGAATATCAGTGTAAGCGAGTTTGCACCCAGCAAGAAACTCGATTACCACGGGAATGGATGTGGAATCTAAAGAATCATTGTGTATCGCTCACATTTTCTCTTCTAGAACGTATCACTTACTTGCCAACTATATTGCCGAAAAGCGAGTAGAGAATAGAACGCTGGAAGAGATTTCGAATTCTTCTTTGCATTCCGTTAATGAGAAAAATAAGCGAACTACATTTTATACACTGCACCACAATGGGTTATATAAGAAAATGTCACGAGTTGTTTTTTTGTTTTGTCATTTCCTTCTCTCGCGAAAAAAAACGAAAGTATTCTTCTGGAAAATAGTTCAATCAGTGGAGCTCCAGAAACAAGTAGAATAAGAAGTAAATCAAGTATTTGAACAATTTTAGCCTTCAAATGTTTATTTAGGCGAAAAGGTGCCGAAATTATTAATTTTCTATTGTTGTTTTTTTAATAACTTTGGGAAGTTTTAAAATATAATGTTCATATTAGAGGCAAAGTACGTTGGAATCAATTACAACATATCTGTGCAGTTTCAAGAGTGTGCCACCAAATCAACAAAAAAAAAAAAAAAAATGGCGGCATGCAGAATATCTGTCGTGGCTATTTGGTAAGTTTTGAGATTTTAAGATTTTTTAAATTTAATATTTTATGATACTTTAAGGTGTTAAGATTAAATGGTGAAAATGTTCTTCTTGCCAAAACGAATGAATCGAGTGAAATTAAACTAGTGTGCCACCAATGAAAAAAAAATACATTAAAAAAAGGTGACTATGATTTGAGAAACTAAAATTCCATGTTTACAATTTTTATTGGCACGCTCGAAATTCATTCAAAAATTGTTATATACATGAATAAAGTAAAATATATGTGTATAAGGAAAACTGTATTAAAATCTTCCAGGTCAATATTTTATTAGTTTTAAATTATGTTAATTTTAAGTTAAGGCGTGCGAGTAAACGTAGTAGCTGACTGTGTATGGATGCATTTTGCGGTGGAATCTTGTTCATTACGTAAAACGGAAGATAATGCATAATGTCTAAGAAACTGTGCCACCATTTTTGACAAAACACACGTTTTTCTCGAAAAATGTAACAACTCGTGAGGTTTGCTCTTATGCACTCGTGTTCTGCCATCCTCCACTAAGAACATTCAGAAGCGATTCCCGATTATTTACTGGGGAATAGTATCAGCGGGTATTGAGTTTTCCGATACAATTAAGGCGCATTTAAGCGCTGAGCAGTAGCTGCCTTGTGTTTGCCAATAGCATTTTCACTCCCTTGCCACCAAAAAACTTGCTCGAAATCGATATGCGCCGAACATATTTGATTGGTATAGCTCGGCAAGAAATGGTGCTCTTACGGCATTCTGTGAGCAGAGCTACAGCACAAAGCAGTGGAGGTAGCATTTTACAGGTGATAATCTGATTATTGCCTTGCATCATTTTCATTTTCGCATTTCAACGCAGGTTTTCGCCGAGCACAGCTTCGTATGAAGAGTCCGGAAGCTTACCTTTAGCATGCATGGCTGATGCATACATATACATATGTAAGTAAATATGTACGTATGTATGCAAGCATATATGTATGCACATTAGTGTGCGCCTAATTTGTATGGAGCTGCAAAGCTAGACTCTCCCTATTTATTCTGCGAAAAATTTTCAAAATCGGATAAAGGAAAGACGTGCCTCAGAATCCCCAAAAGTTGCGAAAAATCATGAAATTTTGTACTAAATGGAAAGGTTGGCTTTTAAATCGGGAAAAGCCGTCTTGTTTAACTGCTACTAAATTTATTGTTGCGTGTCCATCATAAGTATGGCTAAAACATTTTCATATCTTCTGCAGTTTTTAAGCTAAAGAGGGTTTTCTTGTCTGCATTTCTCTCAGGAAATCTCAGGTCCATATTTACATTCGGTAGCCAAAAGCACACTAACTGCCAGTAAATTATATTGAAAATCCCACTGACTCATAGGCAATTATTACCACTCTGTGAAAGAAAGCAAATTTTCTGGCGCCTTGTGCTCTCAAACCACGAACTTATCTAGAGGTCTTGCTTTCAGAGTTGACAAATAAGGTCCACACTAATGTATGTATGTACATAAGTATTCACTATCATGTCGACATTGTAGGGGCAAGCATGTAATTGTGGCGCCTGAAGTGAATCACTAGTACGCCACTTCGGTGGTCGACTGTATCTTCTTACAAGCATCGATATACTCTACCTATGCGTACACTATTCCTGGAAAGAAATCTGGCAAGCCGTATACGCTCGGCGAAGCGCTAGCAATTTCATCAGCCGCAACAGTGTAGTCATTTGCCCACTGCTACGCTAGCTGTCGATCCATACTTTAGCGATGTTAAGCGCCTACAGCAACAGCGCATTACAGGCGTGAACTGACGCCTAGCTTCTCATGGCAGATACGAACTGCCAGGAGGGTGTGTGTACATATATACATATGAAGCAAGTACGATTTTCAATTAAATTACGTATACGCCCTGTTGGTCGGCCGTTTGGCTGGCAGGACACGGCCGCTCAGCTCCCGGTCGGCTGGCCGGTTTCAACAGTGTCGCAACACTGAGCGGTGTCGGCCATATAACTTTGTTATCGTGCAATTAATTTGGCGAATTTTAATTTTCTACAGTTGTTGTAGTAGCGCGTAATTTTTATGTTGAACACGACAGGACGGCCGCCAACAGTGTAAACAAGCCGAGCAACCGAAATTATTGTTGTTCATCCACGCGTGCATATACATACATATGTACATAGTTATACTCGTACATAAATGCTAACGCTGCCACTTTTAATCATGTGCGAAAATAGCTTTACTGTTGTGAGGCTGCCAACTGCATTGTATAGCAAGTAATACCATGTTCATGACATTAATGCAATTTCATTTTGATGCACGTAAAAACACAGACTTATATACATATACTTAAATTACATACGTATATATTGGGCGCAAGTAAATTTTTATGCATTATAGGCTATTGTGATTGCCCATTTTTGTGAGGGAAATGCATATTTAATTCGAGTAGTTTCTTCATTAAATGCGCGCTCATTTAAAGTTTCGTTATTTGCAATTCTTCATCGTGGCAAGTAATTTCTTTGCTTCTCTCTTTTACTTACCATTTTGCATAGCAACACTCTTATCCTCCACTCGGCTTACATAGCAGCAGAGTTCATCTTGCCGTTCGGCGTTCTCGATCAGTTCCGCTTCGACGGAGAAGCCCCACATTTGCTCGAGCGTAGTTCGATGTAATTCCACTTGATAGAGTATCTTCATGCAGACCTCAACGAATTCGTGATTATGCAACTGCCATGAAAAGAAATGAGTAGAAGAAGAGCGAGATAAGTACAAATTAGACTTTTCAATTAAATGGTTATTTTAATATGTAAATGCTACACTAAAATGACTTATATAATAAAAGGTAAGAGTAATTGAGTTTCGTACGTGTATACATATATGAAAATTTGCTGCATGCACTTTTTATGTCATGTAGTAGAGGTGGTAGAATAGGTCTAAAAAATAATTTTGGCAGTAGCAGAATTGCTAAAACCACCCCCAAAATCTGAAGTTATGATAAAAAAAAACTGAAAATCTGGATGTTGTGTTAAGACACTGACCATAAATTTGATAGTTTTCAACGAACTCTCATCCTTACTAATTACTAATATAGATATTTAATTTTTATTTTATTTTTTTATATAAAAGCGAAAGTGAGTTTTTTTGTTTGGTACGCTTTCACGCTTTAAGTACTCAACCGTTTATCATGAAATTTTGCGCACTGGTGTCATTTAGCCCAACTTAAAATATTGAATAGCTTTTATCTCGATTAGAAAAGGGGGCGTGGCACCTAAAATACAAACATTTTGCATACTTTATACTTCTGGAAGTATTAGAACTTGGTATGGAGATATGGGCGCTATTGCAGAAGCCGGCATAGCACATCTTATTCAAACTGAATTAAAAAAATTAAATTCAGTTTGAATTACGTGTTGACGTTGAATTATGTGTGTCAGATGAAAGAGGTTTAGGAAGGTTGTAGTTTGAAAATATTTAGAAGAGGGTTGCCACCTGCTTAAAAATTGGAATTTAATTAAATAATGCTCAAGCTATTAAGTTAAATGAAATATTAAGACGAAGGAGTGTTATGAAACTTTTTGTTTGAACATTTAAAATATTTGTAAGGGTGGGAAAATATTAAATTCAATCAAATTATTTATTAAGTTCAGTGAACTGTGACAATATGGCTGTCAATCGAAATGGTTTGGAAACGGCCTTATTTCTTTATGTCATTTAGGATGGATGCCCACTGTTAAAAAATCAAATTCAACTTGAGTTAAGGCAGTCGGGCAGTTGAAATATATATATGACAATATCGGTGCCAGAAAAGAGAGGTTTCAGGGGGCTGTAGTTTGAAAATATTTTGAAAAGAGTTGCACCTGTTTGGAAAGTGGATTTTTATAAAATTTTACACAAATTAAATGATACATTAAAATATTCGTGTCAAACGAAATAGTGTTAAGAAAATTTTAAGTTTGAACTTTTAGAATCTTTGTGACGTGTTCTAAGAAGGTCTAAAAAGGCATATTTAAATTATTTAATAAGTTAAATTAGTTATTAAAGAATAGGTATCGATAGAATTCCTTCCCGAAAATGCTGCCCGTCAACGGTGCAAAATGTCCTTGTCTAGTTCACGCATTTCACAATATTGTCGTTTAAAGCAACTATCTGATTTTCAGGGCAACCATCTTAACCCTTACAAAGCTTCAAAGGACAGAGAATGTAAATTTGTTTTGCCTTACAAGAGTGCGACATTTTACGAAATGAATACGAAATTTTCTCACCGTTTTCCTTCATTTTAGAATCGAACACAAAAAGAGAAAGGGGCAATCAAAAGGTAACCTTGTTTTGATAGAAACGAGCAACTTAAATTAAGGGGATAAGGTAATTGACATATGTATCACAATATGAGCGCCAAGCGCAAGAGGTTTGAAAATGTTTAATTCAAAAATAAAAAAATTGAAATGTGAGAACCTTCAATGTTTTTGGCTAAGATTGGTGACAGGTAACAAGATCAACGGAAATAAGGTCAATTGACTTTATTTCGCAGCGGTGGTCGCTGAACAGGAATCTGAAGTCCTCTTTGATCCACCACGTCAAAATTTTTGCCCAACCTGAAACATTTTGGCGAACTTTATGCGACAATTCCCTTTTTATTAATATTGACGGATTTACTTTTATCTTGGTATCCAGGGGTTCTTGAGGTCGCTGGTTACCAATATAAAGTCATATAAAGTAATTTTCAAAAATAAAAATGACGAATGCAAAATGGTGATCAACGCTACCAAATCACGAAACACAAACTTTTTTCCCAATTTTAACCGCCATTGCAATGATTATTATCAACTGGAACTTTAACGCTTTTTCGCCTTGTACAAATTTTTTGACCAAGCACAAGGGGTTTTTTTAACATACCAGAAACCAATTGCAGTTTACGAATCTAGATTACAAAAAAAATTCGATAGCCCAGTGCATCGGTAAATAGCGAAAATCTCGAAAAATCACAATTTGTTCGAGTTTGAGCGGGGTTTGGCAAAACCTTTGATGACAAATTCAGATTAGTTGGTTATTAATCTACAAAGGGACATATTTAGTTCACCTTATTCTGAAACCAAGGAAAACCAATATTTACGCTATTTTGTATGAATTTTTTTTTTAAAGAAATGTAAGCTAAACTTTTCATGCCAGTATTAGATTCCTCGTATGAAACACTACAAAAAACATATTATCAAATTGAAAAGTGACCTGCATAAAGGAGCAAAATTTAAAAGTTTCTAATTTCGTTGTGGAGATCCTCATTTTAACTTGAATTTGAAGGTCAAAAGATCAAAGTATTGATATCTGTATAATTTTTTCATATTTCGTATTGCATCAGCTACAAAATGGCATTCGATTCATTTCGCAGATTTTCGTTTTTGTCCACAAACATTCACTAATCTCTCATAGTGTGCCATATTGAGTCCATCATTTTGAGTTTTGAAAATCTGACTTCATATTCATAATCAGCGGGCCCGCAAACTGTTGCATACCAAGATTGAAGTAAATCCATCAACATTTGAAAAAAAATGTTTGTCACGTAAAGTCCGCCATGTGTTTTGAGGTTAGAAATGATTCATGATATAGTCTAGTCTTGTCAAAATAACCTTTCATCGTTTTTTTTCATAGTCTTGTGTGATTGACTAAAATGCTGATCTTTGAAAATTTTCGCCTTTATAACTAGTTCAGACTTCACTTACAAACTTTATAATTTCCGAACACATTATGCAAGCTAAGAACAATCATTTTCTAGCATAAAATACTATCCACATATCGAAAAATAACTGTACCAGCGGAAAAGTTGATTTTTTTCTTGAGTTTTCTGTCAGATACTCAATTTCGAATATTCATAACTCTGGTTCTATAACAGGCACATATGTATTCAGTTTTGGAGGAATTTTGAATGGTATATTATATAGAACATTGTACTTTAATGCCATTTTCAAAAATCAAACGGTAAAAAATTTACGTTGGAAAACAGAAAAACTTAGTTAAATTTTAATAATCCAGAATAACTGCATTATTAATTTTTTTATCTAATCTATGAATGGCGCGCTGTGGTGTAGTGGTAAGCAGTGCGCGCTTTCACACAACAGCACCTGGGTTCAAGCCCTGGTCAAAGCAACATCCCAAAAAATATAGAAAAAGGTGTTTTCTTAACAGCGGTCGTCCCTCGGCAGGCAATGGCAAACCTCCGAGTGTATTTCTGCCATGAAAAACAGCTTCTCATGAAAATACAATCGCCATTCGGAGTCGGCGTAAAACTGTTGGTCCCTCTCCTTTGTGTGACAACATCAAGGCGCACGCCACAAGTCGGAGGAGAAGCTCGACCAAACACTAACATTTGTGTAAGCGCCAATCTATTATTATTATTATTATGAATGGCACACCTAGGTGTACTGTATTTTTACAATACTTATAGACCTAAAATTATTAGAAAAAATTATCGGCAAAACTTTGAATAAACACCAAAATCAAAAGTACTGGAGATATACGCATATATTTATGTGTGTATTTAATATAGTCGCAATGGCCGAGTGAACAAAGCGCTAGCGCGGCACTTGAAAGATTCGAGATTCGAGTACGCGGTCAGCAGAATTTTTTCTTTTCTTAATTAGTTTAATTTTAAATTATTATTTTTTCTTTAATTTTGCTTTAGTTTTTAGATTTTACTGTTCAAAAATATATATATTGTCTTCGCGTTTTTTAGTGGAAAATATATTTTTCTTCATATTTTATCTTTTTCCTCATATTTTAATTTTTGTGACCTTTGTTTTGAGACGTTCTGAGCTAAAAAATTTCAAATTTTATGATGCAAAGTCAGATCGACTGAAATGCCATTCGTGCTGCCAAATCTTAAGTCCTTTTAATGACCCTCGAACGATGATGTAAGTATATAGTTGTGAAATACATACATACATACATACATACATACATATGTGCTATCTTCTACACAGAAGTGTAAAATTTACACTAAAAATTTAAATTAATTACCATTATGTGCGTTCTTAATTGTGAGATTATTTAATTTCGCAGAACATTCATTCGCCTAGCATAAATCGCTTTAAAGCAATAGAAAATTTTTGAGTGGTGATATAAGTATAGAACTGAGTGTAGTTCATATACCCATGAATTGGAAACCGAAGGCAAAGCGCGTGCAAAATTTTTTATGTGGATATATTGGTTGAGTAAAATTAGGGAGATTGGTGGCTCATAAATCATATGCCATATTCTCATTAAATACTAACTAAAATGCAGTTTTTAAACTTAGCTTACGTTCATATATGTATGTACATACAATGTGTGTCTGTAAGTATGCAGGTGAAGAGGCAGATTTTAGTAATTCGGTTGCTATAAGTCATATAATTTCCGAATTTGGCTATGACTAGTTTCGAGGTAAGTGCTGCAGAGATTTGTAATTTTCCCTTATTACTATATACTCACATATGCATTAAATTACATATGCATTTGCCAATAAAATTGACAAATGAATATTCTGAGAGTTTCAGCTTATACTATTTACATTTATATATGTAAGTATGTATGTATTTATATATTCCCACAATATGTAATAAGTAAAGAATACCATATGAAATATTACAAACATTAGCATTATGTCATAGAAGCGAGAAGATATAAACAAAGTGTCATTGAACTGCCCTTGGCTATGAAACATATGCAAATAGGAGTATGTGTGAAAATTTGAATTTAAG